GCATTGCGCATGTGAGCTGGAGCCTGAGGGGTGCCAGGGGCAGAGCCTGTGTGCTGTCCTGTCCCTTGCTGGGTGTCTGTAAATTTGCTGGATGTCCTTGTTCCCTGATGCCATCGTGACTAAATCCTCACCTTCACCAGGGCTGAAAGGCAAAGGTGCTGCTGGTGTGTGTCTCTACAGCAACACATTGGTTGGACATTCCAGATCCAGTGCAATGCTACTGAGATCCCTAGTCTTCTTCATACCAGCTACTTGTCAAATAGTTTACAGGGAAAAAGGCAAATGTCTTAAGGCCTTACCCCAAGAAAGAGGCTTTTCCATCCAGACATGACCATACAGCATGTCTTCTTTTGTGCACTGCGTATACCATATTCAGGCTTATTTGAAACCTTCCCTTTTTTTACCTTCTCTAGAGCTAATCATTTACTAGTTGGTACATCTGGTGGCGGTTGATGTAGTACTGATGAACATCTTTACTTGAAATTTTCTTAAATCCTGTAATTCTAATACATCAGGTCAACTGTTCCTGAGATTGTCCCTGAGTCTTTTGGTTTTGAAAAGGGAAAGTCAAACCCAGCAAGTCGAATTAGCAGGGCATTGAGGAAGTGCACCAGAGAGCAAACCAGGATGGTCCAGAAGGAATTTGCAAACTGTTCACTGTGAGTCTTGAATATAAACGATCCCTCTTTGAAATTTGCAATTTTCTCTGAGAGATGGTGGATCTTCACCTCTGAGGAGAAGAGAATCATGATGAGGCAACCGCAGGAACCTGAAAGAGAGGGAGAGATGCTCATCACCTTGGCAACCCCTCAGCCACCCGTGTGGTGTATGCCACAGCCAAGTGCCACATGGAGAGTGTGCTTATGGCCACAGTAACTTGGCTTTAGCAGGGATTAGTTTAGGAATCCAAGCCAATGGCTACTGAAATTGGTAAGCTTTTCTAATTGAATTTGGCTCAGAATTAACAATATTTAGCATAGCTCCTTTTGTGCCCTGAGCCAGCAAAGTATCTCTGCTTGTGTTCAGCTTTAAGCTGCTCATTGTCCCATTGAGCACAACCCAACTGTCTGCCTGTCTAAAGATACATATGTACCTAAGTCCTTCATTAAATTATGATTATAATATGTAATACCTCATAAATTCAGGGTAAATCTGCTTGTCAGCCAAGCCAACAGCCCAGAGAGTGTGTTACCCTCCCTGCTTGGCAGAGGGCAGGGATGCTCCATTATCCCTGCATTGCAGAGGGACAGCGACACTGTTATCACTGGTGGCAGTGATTCTCAGAGACCACCCTCACAGTGAGCTGCTGCCAGCCTCTCCCCCTCTGCTGCTAAGCTCTTCTGTCCTTGGGAAGGCTGTGCTGCTATAAGTGGTGACCTCGCTTACACTGTCTGGAACCCTCCTGTTGTGGGAGCTGTTGCATCACTGACGACTTTTGGCTGTTTTCCCCTCTTTTTCTCCCCTCTGATATGGTTTCTGGTTCTGACTGTGTATTGGGTGTCCTTGATGCAGACCCAGCTCTGGGTCCCTGCGGGGGCTCATGGGCCCTTCTGCCATAACTTCCTGCAGCTACTCAGCTGTATCCACACTGCCATCCACCCTTGTGGGGGATTACCCATTTTATCTCTTAACTCTAGTTTGAAAAACACATGTTTTGATACAGCAGAGTCACCTGCCTTCCTGTCTGGCTTGATTTTGCCAGTTTAGACTCAATGCAGCTATGGTCCTTAACATGCTTTCCTGTGTTGATAAGTGGATCACTGTGAGAAGTGTACTTGGAGTGGTGTCAGCCCAGCAGGATAGGGCTGGTGGTACTCACAGGCAATGAAGCTCCAGAGGTACAACCCCATAGGGCCATGCAGTGTTTCATAGGGTCTGCCAAAAGCATTGAACATGAAGAACCCTGATCCCACCAGAGCGAAGATGATCAGTACTGTGCAGAAGAGAATGACACTAACATGGATACTTGCAGGGATAGTTCTGAGCAAATCTGGAAAAACTAAAAACAAAACAAACACAACATTATTAAACACATTAGACAAAGCTGTCTCTGAAGTCAGGCCAGCAGGTTCCTGCTGCTTCATGATAGTTGTTTTAATCTTGCTCTTCCAAATGCAACCAAAGCTGAAGTTATTGACAAGAAATATGTTTTTGTGGATGTTTGGAGGCAGAAATAAACTGTGAAATTTGGAAGCATAGACTGGCCAGGAGAGAGAAACAAGCACCATGGAAAGCCTCTCCTCCCCTTCCTGAGGGTGGTATTTGGTCCTTAATGTGAACAGCATACTCTGAGGAAAAGATGGGAAGCTGTATTTGAGGAGACTGGTCTGCGAGGTGGCATGCAGGGCTCTCGCAGTGCTAGTGTCACTGGCCTGATCTCTCCTCCCTCAGCTGAAGGCTTGGGTGGGGACACACATGACAATAAATCCAGAAAGAGACTTTGTTTTCATTTGTGCTCATGGGGTCCCAGAGAGGGATGTGACATTGGAAATGAAGTTATGCTGTGACTCTGGATGCACAAATTCTGGAATAGTTTATTTTAAATATATTTTTAATGCAGCTTTTTAGCTGTTATTTCAAATTGTGATCCTGCTTGGCTAGGACATGGGGATAGTCAAGTCAGATGGCATGAGAGAATGATTTTTAATCATTCCTATTTGTTTGGCAACAACAGGTATTTTGGAAGGAACTGTGAAATATGTTTCACTGCTCCTGATCCACAGGGCATGATTAAAGTGGGGTAATAATGCCTCAGGGCTGCCTTGCCATGGCTGTAATGTGTGGAAAGTAAAGCAGCCTCACATCAATTACTCCCTGTAAAGCCTTTACCAGCAAACTGCTTCACTGCTCCATGCAGGAACACAGAGCAGCAGGTAATGGGGTGTCAAGTCCATTTATCTCCCTGAATAAATGAAAGGGAAATTAATGAACCAAGTGTTTGAAAAACTCATGAAATTCAACAAGGCCAAATGCAAGGTCCTGCTTTTGTGGGTCAGGACAATTCCAGCACAAATACAGGCCAGGCAGGGAGTGGATGGAGAGCAGCCCTGAGGAGAAGGACTTGGGGGTGTTGGTAGGCGAGAAGCTCCATGTGCCCAGGCCGTGTGCACTGGCACCTAGAAACCTCCTGTGTGCTAGGCTCATCCCCACAGTGTGGGCAGCAGGTGAGGGAGGATTCTGCCCCTGCTCTGTTCAGGTGAGACACACCTGCAGTGCGGCCTCCAGCTCTGGGGCACCAACAGCAGAAGGATGTGGAGCTGCTGAAGAGAGTCCAGAGGAGGCCATGGAGGTGTTCTGAGTGCTGGAGCACCTCTGCTGTGGAGATAGGGTGGGAGAGCTGGTGGTGTTCAGCCTGAAGAAGAGAAGATTCTGGAGAGACCTTAGAGGCCCTTCCAGTGCCTCCCTGTGCTGGAGTACTACAAGGAATAGCATTAGTTCCTGTGATGTTACCTGATGTTCTGTGAGAGCACACAAAACTGTGTATTTAATAATACAATTTTGTGTTGTTTATTTTAAAAAACCCAACAAGTTACCACATGATATTGAATCCTCCCCTTGGCACCTGTGTCTATAGCTGTTTGTGTCATTAAAATTTCATACATGACATATCAGGAAAAATTAATTCCAGCAGTAATGCTGGCTTGAAAGGAAAACATTTCTTCACAGTGCTGAATGAATCCATGTATGGTGTGCATGGCAGAGACCTTTAGAAAATGAACTGCTGACCCAGAAACTGATGGGAATGAGCAGGAGCAAATGGAGCAGAAGCTTTCCCCAGCTGAACTGGGTTTGCTGGCAGAACAAATTCATACTACAATTAAAAGAGATATAGTGGTCAGAGGGGAGCATTTAATGGGAACAAGCGTAGAACTAAATCATTTAGCCTATTTTCTGTGCTTGTTCTCCTCAGACATGCTGAAGTGCAGTGAGTGCATTAAGCTACGTCTGTGTATTGTGTATGTTTGTCCTGCTTTCTGGGATGCTCCCAGTGAGCTCCCGAGGCACTGAGGTGATGGGAAGGGACTGCTACAGCCCGAGGCGTTGGGATCAGCCTCTTGCACTAAGTGCTCTCTGTGGTGAACATTCCTGCCCCAGATGCAGCGTGTCCCTTGCAGCTATCACTGGCTGAGCCCTGATGGGTGTCAGCCCCAGCGCTGCTGGTAGCTGGGCCTGCCCTGGGTCATAACAGTCTCACCTACAGCAGTAACCCAAATCCTTGGGATTGCATAGACCCCTCTGAAAATTCCCCCGGGGTGCAATAGCTGCACACTGTGATGGCAAACAGGGCAATTGAGAGGGAACTTCAGCTGTATAAACAGATTAGTGATTGAATTTAGAGACAGCAAATCTTTATATTATATTAACTTGGTCTACTACTTTGGGAAAATCTTTTATAGTAAATAATTTCTGGTACATAATCTGGTAACCTTCCCTTGGATTAAATCACTGGTGTGAGCAATTTGCCAGCTCTGCTGTAGCAGTAGGTTTATAAACGGTGTGCTGTAGTAACTTTGGGTGACACATTGTACACACAGCAATCATCAGTTTGTTACCACCTGTTCCGTCTGCTGCTGCATACAACTGTGTGTCACTTCATCATTTTATTGATCTTAGCCTTCAAGATAAATAGATTATGAATATTACATGTAAAGCAAAGCCATTGCTAACACTTTCATGCCATTCCGTGTGTCAGGTACCCAGCCAGCCTCCCCCAGCCCTTCTTTCAATTAGTGTTGCAGGTCGTGAACTTTCAGGCTGCTTTGTTTCTTAACAGTGGCCAAACGTGGCCGTGCCTCAGCTCTTTTGTGAGATTTCTGCTGCTTTAGTTCATTCGTCTTCACAGTACAGAGGATGCAATGTTGACATACACACACAGAGGAAGATGACATAAATTAGTTAACCCCCCACATTTTGTCTTCTGAAATGTGGATATCAATGCATATATATATAGAGAATCTTGAAAACATTAGCCAGGCCGTACCAGTATCAGAAGCTAAGTCACTAGACCCTGAAGACTAGAGCACTGTAAGAGCAGTGTTGCCTTGGCATATCCCGTGTTGCTGCGCTCAGTGTCCGCGCTGCGGGGACAGCCCTCTCCCCCCGCCGCAGCTCTCAGCAGTGTGGTGCAAATAGCTCAAACGCCACGGGTACTCACATGAGAACTGTAAGGGTCTGCCCCCGAGCCCGCACTGCCGCACGCGCTGCCCGGAGAAGAGCCCGTACTGGATCTCGCCGATGAACTTGTGCAGCTCGGGGCCGGTGGCGTTGACGAGCAGCGCTCCCGTCGTGCAGAGGATCGTGCCCCGCACCCACAGCTGGGTGCCGATGGCTGCCGCCGTGCCCAGCGCGCAGGCGAAGCTCAGCACCCCAGCGGTGCAAAAGATCAGCTTCCTCTGCTGGGCTGGCATGGTGGCACTCAGGGTCCACCGAGGGACGCGGCACTCAGTGAGGCGGCGCAGAGGTCCTCCGCGCGGCAGCAGCCTGAGAGCCTGGGCACCCAGCCAGCACGGCCGAGAGCTGCAGCCTCTCCTGAGCTCCCGAGCCCGGCCAGCCCTGCCCTGCCCGGACACCCAGTGCCCAGACACCAGGCAGGCACCGGCTGGAGGGTGCTGTAAAGGCTTTTCTTCCCCGTCGCCTTCTGTACAGCTTTGCAGAGCGTTTCAGTGCATCCCCCGTCACTTGATAGCGAGGGTTTAGGATGACGGATCTCTGTAATTTGATGAGTGCTCTGCTCGTTCCGGCCTCCGGGTGAGTGGGGGGTTCAAGAGACAGGCTTGACTGCTGCGTCTCTTTATCTGCTCTCCATAAAGTTTTCAGAGGGTTTATTTTCCCAGATTTTCCTCTAAAGTCAGCAGTGCTGAGCTGCTCACTTCTTTGGCTTTTATTTTTCCTTCTGTGTGTATTTCACTTTTGCTGTTGTTCCTAATGCGATGCCCTGACAACATACAGCAGCCTGCCAGGCCAGGAGGGCCCCCTGCAGTATCCAGTTGCATTTGGGCACTTATTTGTATTTGCTTTCCCTGTTGGGGTGTTCCCAGTGTGTCTGTTTTATGCAGTGCTGGTTTGGCTGTAGTGTGTAGGATGCTCAGGAAAAAGTTTCAGTCCACATTTAAAATATACACACAGACATTTTGTCTTGCTAATTTACAGAAGACTCAGCTCACCCGAGGGCTCAGAGACACACTGGCTCCTGTGTCCTGCTGCTTCTGGGCACCTCCCTCACTCTTCACGTAAGCCAAGTCAGGGCACGACATATCCCATTCCCTGGAGTGTGGCTAACTCGGGGGCTCGGTGAGGGCCAGAGGCACCATCTGCATCCATCTACCAACTGCCAGGGACTTCAGAAAACACAGGGCCTGTTTTTTTTCTGAACCAGATCAGCTTAGTGGTTTGTTAGCTGGATGCACATCTGTTGCAGGAACACTCTGCAGGTGGTTCAAGTGTATCATATCAGTTGGGGTTAAAGACTGAGTGTGGTATAACTATGTAGGTTTTAAGGTAACTTTGGAATTAAAGTGAAGAAAGGCTGTGTACAGGCAAAGGATTTACTGTTTGTTTTTTTTAAAGTTATTGCCTGTTTAAGTTAACCAGACTTGTTAGTTCTTGCCTTTGGCAAACACAGCTGGATGTGTGAAAGTAATTCAATAACCAAAGATGTAATAGAAGATGCATTAACAAATATGAGATAGTGCAGGTCAGTACCAGCCTACTTTATTGCTCTTGTCTGCTTCAGCCTCAGCTTTTAAATTATCTGTGGTTTGACTAGGGAATTGCTTAGAGACAAAAGACTTGTGGTTTGCCTGTTCTTGTCCATACTCCATTTGAACATAAGCTCATTTGTAGAGTGCTGCTGTTCATTTTATTTAGGCTTATTTGCAGCTGACTGTCTAGTCTTGTATTTCTGGAGTACCTTGTGTTTGTACTGTCCTGGAGATGTAGTGCAAGGAGAGGATCTGGCTATTAATGGCTAGAAAGGGGAAAAGTTCTCATGCTTGCTTACTGCAAGGCTGATAGAGGAATGCACCCGTCACTCCAGCACCTGAGGATAGGACAGCTCTGCTGAGCGAGAGGAGGGTGTTCTGTAGCGTAGGACAAGGCTTGCAGGCTGTGGTCGCAGTTGCAGCCCTGTCAGGAAGGTGGGCAGGTGTGGGACATCCACTGACTCTGGAAAAGGGAGCCCTAAAGCTTTCGTGTTGTCTTGCTTGTGTTTTGGAGATTCATTAATCAGAAAACGCACTTCTGCTGACATCACGTCTCCTGTCCCGCTTGGCCCATCCACCGGGATCAGTGGATCCACTCGGGTAGTACAGATGGGCCGCTGGGAGCATCCTTTGGGATGGCAGAGTAGCGTGGCCGTGTGCCCCTCCACAGCCCTCCAGTACCTCTGGGCGCGGGTCGGGATCCCTCAGCCCCAGGGCACCGGATCGGGGGGAGGATGCCCTCGCTTGGCCGCGGGGCGCTTTCCTGCTCCCGCTCCCCAGCCGCGAGCTGCGTTGGGCGGCTCGCACCGGGACCGGGCACCGCTCCC